GGTTGCTTTAGAAGTAGGATAGAACTCGTTATTAAAAATATTACATGATACAAGTTGCCATAATCAACCTCACAAAGAACTGCATTTGAGTGGATAACAATTAACATTAGAGTAAATAATTATGGAACATATCACGTCGTATAAGGCTATAATTATTAAACATGGAGAGAAGATCTGCAGCACACCAATATCTATTGTTTGTCCTTTCAGAATGAGTCCACTCATATCCCTAATGCTCGAAATGAGAGTCTGAATCTTTAAACAAAATCACAATGCTAGTATATGAATGCCGCTGAAATAAACAGGTGTTCTTTTTTCTACACCCTATCTTCTATTTCTGCATTTCTCTTGGTCCATGTGTGTGGGGAAGACTGGGTAGCTCTGAAACAAACCCTACCATTTTGCACCAACAAATAGAGAAAAAATAATATATTATGGGGATGGTATCTTAAACACTTAGGCATAACAAAAGAGACTGATAACTGAATTATAAAAGCTCCAGGATAAAACCTTGCTTCTGCATACCCAGTAAAGTTGTGTTATTGTAGAAACTGGTTACGCTTTGAATGTCCATACAAAACAGAACTACGCTTGCATAGTAATCTTGAATCCCCTCATATGTGTTCCGGTCCTACATACTATTGTCCCTATTCTTCTTCTCTACATTCACTATACTTTAATTTCATGTATGCTATGGATCATAATAATGTTGTATATATGTGCAACTGCCATGAAACATCAGTGGAAGTTATATTTAATATATGACCATTCAATTACGCCCACATAAGTGTAAATCAGTCGGGTGTGTGCTCATTTTGATTCTATTCGCTTGATGCTTCATTTGACTTTTTGAGTAATAAAATCCACCCTTTGTCCAAAAAAGTGTAAATCCCCCTTTGTTTACCTCATGATATTTCCGAGAAACTTGCTGAGCAGGCAAAAGTGCTTCACATTTCAACATAACACTACAGTCTATATAAATGGTCTGATCCTATTCACCATACCTCCAGAAGAAAAGGGATTGATTTCCATAGGACAAATACCGGCCCAATCATGAAGATATTAATTTATCAAGAAACAATAATGTCAGCAAAGTAGCACCATTCCTTTTCCTAAACCATGAATTCATCAAAAGAACCTGAAGAAAAAAAGGGGGATCACAATCCATTCACAGTCTGGGTGATGATGCTGGGTATATCAAAGAGATGATATACCTGACGGGGTGGATGCGGCGAGGTCTCCGGCGTCGAAACCTTGCTCGACAGTGTCATCCTCCTCGCTCCGTTCGGCGCCAGGCGCCGCGTGTGCCGTGGAAGCGGAGCGGCTCTACTGCCGGTCGGGCGACGGCTACCTCTGCGTAGGCCACAACGCGTGCGTGTCTGACTCTACGAGGTCTGCAAGCACGCGGCCGACGCGGTCACCTGCCGCGCCGACGCGTGAAGCCATGAGCGGCTCGCCGATGCTCTCCAGCTCGTCCCCTCCCCGTCCTCCACCGTCGACGCCAACGTCGCTGACAACGACCTCGTGGCTTCCATGGACGGAATAGGTCCTTCCCGAGCCCTAGGACAACACCGACTCGGACGCATACCAGTCCATGGACGGAATCAAGGCCATCGGGTGCCCGCAACACCAAGCTCGATCTCGCCGGCGGCACACTCTACCCCGCACGCTTTACCTTTACGTTGACAGTAGCACTATTTCGATTGAGTACAGCAATTCAGTTGAGGCCAGTATTTATGCATGAGGTTATATGGGATGCCCACTAAGTGCATCTCTACAGTCCTCCTCCTCCGTCCGCGGTTAGAGGATCAGTCCATGGACACGGATGTGAGATCTAGTCATTCAACGTTGTCCGCATACATTTGGTCTCACTAAATTCTTTTTAAAGTGTGCAAGTTCAAATGGCCATATACATAGATTTATATTAGAGTATGTAATGGGCCTAAAGGGCCCGTTAGTTTTAGGGTTAATTAGAGACAAGGATCGCTTGCTTAGAGGTCAAGTAAGCCTTGCTTGGAAGTCAAGTAAACCTCTTTATTATATAAAGAGAGTAGATGTATCAATCTAATCAGGTAAGAATTAAGAAGGAAATCCCTTCCCTCTTGCTCGGCCGTGGGTAAAAAGGCCCCCGACCGGCCCTCTCGCGCCCTCCTTCTAGCAGCGCCATAACAATTTGGTATCAACTGGCTTCGGTTCGATCATGTCTTCACCGCCGCCAGGCTCGTCTCTTCCGCTGGCGGTCACCTCGTCGCCTCCGGCGACCACCACGACCGTCGCCCCGCTCCTGCCCGTGCCAGGATCCTCCGTCACGCCCGCTCCCGCCGTCCTCACCTCGGAGGAGGTGCTCGGGGTGCTGCGGGACCTAACCCAGGCGGTCCAGGAGATCCACATGTTATTGGTTGGGTCCTACAGGCCGCACCCGGCTGCGCCACCCATCGCCGCCCCCGCGCCGCCGTGGCTGCCATGCCAGCCGCCGCACCAGGCGGCGTTTCCCGCGCTCGCCGGGTCACTGCAGCTGCCATCCATCGCCACCATCGCCCAGCCCTGACTGGAGTGGCAGCCGCCGCTCCTGGCGGCCTCCGCCGCGCCTGGCGCTCCGTCGCAGCAGCCGCTATTGCTGCCCAGCACGACACCGCAGCAGCCGCTACAGCTGCAATAGCCACTGTCAGTCAACTCCGCCACCCAGTATGGGATGCCCTATGAAGGGACTGCGACGACCTCGTTCCCATCAGCGTCGCCGCCATCCCAGGGCGTCCACATCCAGCAGATCAAGTCCCCGCCGTCGCCGTCACAGCTTCTGTCTTGGAACGCTGGCCGCCCCGTGTCGGCGGTGGTGAGGGTGCAGGCTGCTGCGCGCGGCCTCCTAGCGCGTCGGCGTGTGCGGGAGATGCGTGGTCTGTAGTTGCCGCTCCTCCAAGTTGCCCTTCGCTGCGCAAAGGACCTCACTCTCGTCCGCTGCATCGGGGATCACTCCTTTTGTCCAGGTGGTGTCCATGGGATCCAGGTGGCTGTACACGTGCATGTCCGACGTGCGGATGTTGTCCACTTTTTATTAAGTGGTCCAAAATAAAGCGCCCTAGTCCATTTCAGATTGAGAATAATAAAACAAGCCGAGATATAAAAGGCTTGTTTTTAGGTGTTAGGTTTGTGTTGCGTCGAGTCATGGTTATAAGTTGGTTAGGCTACAGCCCGAGGACAAGTTGCATGTCCAGGTGGGGTGTAGTGTTAGAGTATGTAATGGGCCTAATGGGCCCGTTATCTTAGGGTTAATTAGAGATAAGGGTCGCTTGCTTAGGGGTTAAGTAAGCCTTGCTTGGAAGTCAAGTAAACCTCTCTATATAAAGAGAGTAGATGTATCAATCTAATCAAGTAGGAATTAAAAAGGAAATCCCTTCCCTCTTGCTACACGTTCAAATAGTCGCATGCAACAGTATTTCAAATTTAAAAAAGTTAAAATGTTACAATCTAACATTGTTGTCCCCTTTAACCGCTCACAGATGCTCAATCAGATATTCCTTCATCTGCTTGTGAGTTTCTTGATGTCGAATTTGTTGATGCATATGAATAAACTCTTCAAATGTGGCCGGATTCTGGTCTAGAATTTTGATAGGATCACCCATGTTCTTAAATTCTAGAAATGCGGCAGCATCCTCACCCTCATCATCCACGAACATGTTATGCATGATCACACAACATGTCATCACCTCCCACAAGGTCTTCGGATCCCATTGTTTAGCAGGTCCGTAACCGACTGCAAAACGGGCTTGCAGAACTCCAAATGCCCTTTCGACATCCTTTCTAGTTGCTTCTTGTTTTGGGGCAAGGTGAGACTTCTTCTGTCCAACTGAGTTAGAGATAGTGTTGATAAAGGTAGCCCATAGAGAATAGATACCATCAGTCAGGTAGTAGTTCATGTTGTACTCATATCCAATGATGGTATAGTGGCAAGGAGGATTTTTTCTTCAATCAGTCCTCGCAAACAATGGTAATCGCTACAGCACATTGATGTCATTGTGAGACCCGGACATGCCAAAGAAAACGTGCCAAATCCAAAGATCATGTAATGCAACTGCTTCAAGAATGATGGTGGTCTTCTTAACATGATCCTGATATCGCCCTTGTAAAGCTTTTGGGCAACTAATTCTTGCATTTCTAATGCATGCAGTCAAGAGATCCAAGCAAACATGGCCGCCCTCTTACTTCTGAGATTGCCAAGAGCCTCTTGGTGTCTGCCACAGTCGGTTCTCTCAGGTACTAAGGCCCAAACACCTCGACCACGGCAGCTGCAAACCTGACCATGGTACTCCGCATGTGCTCCCAGACATCCGTAGGTACTCGTCCCACGAATCAGCGGTCGTGCCATATGCAAGTATCCGCAGTACGACCGTGCATTTTTGGTAACCAGAGAACCCAATCCTTCCCACGGAGTCCTTCAAGATGAAGTAGTCATCATATGACCGGACGCCATGGTACAAACGATCGAAGACAGTCTTGCGCATCCGAAAACACCGGCAAAAATGGTCAGGGAAGAGTGCAACGGGGCAAGAGTAGTCGTCCATCAGTATCAAATGGTCTCGCGCCCTGTTGCGGTTGAGCACTCGATGACCCTTGGTGGAACCATTGAAACTGAGAACATGCTCCTCTGCACGCTCCACGTCTTCAAGGGCCGCTTGCATCATTGTTGTCTCCTCCGTGTAATCCTCGTCGTCGGACGGGCCATCGAACAACTCAACATAGTGCTCATATATGTACTCTAAATCCGAATTCATTGCTCAAAAGAAGAAGGTTTTTTAGCTCCGGCAATTCACCGAACAATTGCCGTATGGTACCTGGCGGGGTGGTTGAAAAAGAGCGGTGAAACGATGACGGAGGAGAAACAGGGTGGAGCCCGGGTGGAACGCTTGAGGTGACGGAGACGTAGAGTTCTGGCAGGGGGTGGTGTGGCGGCCGGGCCGGTTGAGCGGCGGCGAAGGCAAGAGAGTACAAAGAAAGGAGAGAAAATGGGGAGGATGGGCGCGCGGGGTCCGAGAAGGGTTTTCGATGGACCGGGTGTGTCGGAGGCCTATGTGGTTGTTGTCCGGAGTCCCGCAAAGCCCCTCGTTTGTCTAGGGTTTGCCTAAAAATTACGCCAGACCGACGAACAGATATTGACCCGCATTGGATAGTAAATCGCGTCTGGACCGCATGGTCCCGACGTGGCAGAAGTGGATTGGGTGTGGGCCTCTCACGTAACGTCCCACTTACAGCCTGAGCGGATGGGGCGTAGTCGATTTGATCTTCTCGGCACGGTGATATGCTTCGCGCAATTCTGTCGTTCGATCCCGTGCATGAACCTTGGACCGTACGATTAATGTACCAAGGGTTACGCTCTATCCATAAATTCAGGTCGACGTTCATTGCCGTGGGAGAAAATATCCGATGCTTGCAGCATGTGAGTGCTCCAACGGTTCAACGTCTAAAAGGTCGACTACAGGCACTAAAAAAACTTAGTATATATTGAGGGTGCTGGATATTCCCTCATGGTTGCCTATCATTGGCGCATCTTCCTACAAGATAAGATAGAGTCGCACAAGGTCAGAAACGGTGCTTTCGAAATAATACACAGAGGCTCCACTAAATCTATTGGAAATCAAAGAAAGGCATGAAAAATGCAGCTATGAAAGTATTATATTCTTTCATACTCCCTCCGTCCGAAAATACTTGTACATCTCTTTTTATCTAATGACAAGTATTTTCGAACGGATGGAGTAGATACTAGATGCCTCGTTGCGCCAAATGACGCAAGGTCTCATCTCACACCAAGAGTTATTTGAAATGGTTTTGCTTTCTGCCTTTTCCTGGTAAAATAACATAGCCGATAGATTGCAATTAAGATATCTCATAATAAGACATGATTAAAGGTTTGGTTCTTAGGGGTTTGGTAAACTTCAATACACAAAAACATAAACTAAACAAAATAGTTCTTCGGCGGGAATTGAAAACCGTGGTGGTCTTCTTTAGTGGTTTTGCAAGATTTTCTTTGCAAACGTAGTTGCCGATTCACAACTTATCTCGCCATTGTCATGGTTGTTGTCGTGTGATGTGCTAAGCAATGCCCTCCTTGTAGCTCTTTGTACTAGATACTATAAATGATGTTCCAACAGTTAAATGAAGAAGCAAGTAATGGCGTGGAAGTAGAGGTTTTATCCTATAAGCTTTTTACCTAGTAATGTCCTTTTGGATAAGCTCATTTGTAAATGGCGCAAGTGTAAGCGCATCGAGTGCCCCTTAGTAATTTTGGTGTATTGAAGACTTATAGGTTAAGGGACTAATATGATTGTGAGTGTACACAGGTTTTATAAGTCGATGAGGAGTTTAATATTTACAGTGAAAGTCGACCCCTAAAAATAAATGTCTTCAGCTGGAGACTTTGGTTTTCCTGAAGACTTTGAAAGTGAAAAAATTGATATGACAATGAAGACTTGAATATTCATGCGAGGACTATGAAGCGTGAAGACTTTTGTTTTCGTAGTTTCATTTTTTTCTTCTTGAGTCATAGGAAACACGGTACTGTTAAAGAGGGTCCAGGTAATACTAAGGAAACTAATTTCCAAGTGATGCTCATCTCAAAATCCTACATCTACCCAATCCTTTCGAGTGAAGTCATTGGAAATCTCATATCAGTTCAGTCAATTTCTTCAGTGAGAGACGAAGATCTTCTGGTCTCTGAGAAATTCGTTCCGACTGAGGAGTTAGGAATTCGCCAGTGTGGATTGCCTACACAGTGAGGAACATGATAGCCCTGAAGAATTCGAACCTCAAATCCGACCGTTGTTGCGCCACACGCCAGCTGTCCAAAATATCCTACCACCTAACGGTCATTATCATTGAAGGGCATTTATGCCTTATCATGTCGGGCTTCTCCCTAGGCTATAAATAGCCGCCCCCTACAACCACTAGCTGGTTGGCTGCTCCGAGAGAAACTGACACTTGTCATTTGAGAGCATCCCATCCTTCGAGGACTTTGAGCGAAAATCATGAAGTGAGGAAAACCCAAATCCCAAACCCAAACCTACAAACCCAAAGTGATTGAGCATCACTGAAGAGATTGTTCCTGTGTGGAAACGACGCTTGTTACCTTTGAGGACTGTGTATCCTCCGGACGGTTAGGCATCATGGTCTGAGCATCCAAGAGGAATTGTGGATCGCCGAGTGACCTAGTCTATGAAGGTTTGGAAGTCACCTGTGAAGACTCACTTACCACTACTGTTGGGCGAGGTCTATGTGATCTTAATTAGCTCAAGGAGAATATGGTAAGGACTGTGTGTCCTCGAGTTTAAATACTCAGCCGCTCCAATCAAACGTACAACTGTCACAGTAGTTGGAACTGGTCTACCAAATCATTGTGTTCACCACGCCTACTGGTTCTATTTCCTCAACCCTTTTATTTCCTCAGTTATGTATTGATGAACCTGATCATTATTGTTTGAAGACTTTGACTGGAGACTTTCTCTAATTCCTCAATCTTATTTCTTCAGTCGGTTTGTCTTCGTCCTGCTTATCCTATGTTTACACTTTCTGCACTCTGTGTTTTGTCTTTAATTTCATCATGATGACTATGTTGTTTCTCTGTTATGCTTACACCTGAGTACTTATTCCGGTGCAAGTAGTTCTTCGCTTAGGAATTTCCTCACCCTGAAATTCCTCACTGAAGAATTCATAAAATTTGCCTATTCACCCCCCTCTAGTCGACCACTTTGAGCAAGGTCCCAAACTGAGTATTTAACCAAAAACTACCACATTTCATGAAAACGTGTCCAAAAACTACCACTTTACGAATTTGTGCCGAAAACTACCACTTTTTTGCTAATCTGTGACTAAAAACTACCATGTCGGGAAAGTGCCCGATTCGCCTCTTCTAAACGCCTTTCTAACAAGATGGGCCCACAAGTCAGGTTGACTGTTAACTTTGACCGTTATTACAAATGAGACCCACACGTTAACCCTCTTCTTCCTCCTCTCTCCTTTTCTTTGGCATTTCCACAAACACCCCGTGTGTGTGGCGGCCCTCAACGCCGGCCGCGGTCGTCCTCGACCTCTCAGCCCCGGTCGTCACGTCGCCGTGCAGCGCGGACCACGGCCAGACCACGCGCGTGACGCTGTCTGCCCGCTGTTCCCGGTCTCCTTCTCTGTCGCTGCCTCCTGCGGCGCTGTCGGCGTCGCAGGGCTCGCACGCTCCGCCCGCTCGTTCCTGGCGCAGGTCGCGAGCGCGCAGAGGGTCGCCAGCTCGTTCGCGTTGTGCCTCCCAGGCGATGGCGACCGCGCGGGCGCGGCAATCTTCAGCGGCGGCCCTTTCTTCCTCGCTCCCCGGGCTGACCGGCCGGCAGTCACGACGCTCCTGTCCGAGGGGGTCCCGCTGCGCCGCCCGTTCGCCGGAGACCCCGGCTACTACGTCTCGGCCAGCAATGGCATCGCCATGGACGGAGCGTGTGTGGCATTCGCGAGCGCTGGTGCGCCCATCGTCGGCTTCTCCACGGTCCACTACACGGAGCTTCGCCACGACGTGTACCGCCCCTTGATCGCGGCCTTCGACCGCGCCATGGGCAGGAGCACGAGGAGGGTCACGCCGGCGGTGGCGCCGTTCGAGCTCTGCTACGACTCCACGAAGCTGCTATCGGCTATCGTCGCAGACGGGGCACTCAGTGCCAGAGGTGGACGTGATGCTGGAGGGCGGGCAGAACTGGACGGCTTTCAGCGGCAACTCCATGGTGCACGCTAGCTTCGACCGAGGCCGAGGACGTCGTCTGGGCCGACGCCGAGGACGACCTTGGCCCTCCCCCGCCAGCGCCCTGGTCGGAGACCTGCTCGAGGAGTAGGCCGGGGACGGCAGCAGCATCCAGAGCCACGCGCTCGGCTCGCTCGAGAAGGGCGCGTCGGTCAGGATCTCGGGCAAACTGCAGGTGCACACAAGGTGTTTGTAGAAATGCCAAAGAGAGGGAGAGAGGAGGAAGAAGAGGGTTAACGTGTGGGTCCCATTTGTAATAACGGTCAAAGTTAACGGTCAACCCGACTTGTGGGCTCATCCTGTCAGAAAGGCGTTTAGAAGAGGCGAATCGGGCACTTCCCCGACATGGTAGTTTTTAGTCATAGATTAACAAAAAAGTGGTAGTTTTCGGCACAAATTCGTAAAGTGGTAGTTTCTGGACACGTTTCCATGAAATGTGGTAGTTTTTGGTTAAATACTCTCCCAAACTAGACCTGTGGTTATTTGAAAATGGGGCATAGCATTGTAGATAATACTTTTAAAATAATTGTGGATGATTAATGCTAGGCACATAGATTATATTTTGAAACACTAGATTTGAACAACTGTAAACACGTATAATGAATTGGACTTAAGATAGCATGTGATAAGATAGGTTGAAGGTTCGTTCTACCTTAGGGGTGCGGTAAACTTTAGTACATAGAGACATGGGCTGAACAAAAGAGTTACCAAGTCAGAAGAAAAGATGGCAGCAAAACTTCTTTGATGATTCTCTAAGATGTTTTTTCATTGTAGCTTCACTGGTCAATCGTGTGGCTGTTATCGCATGGCTTTTCAAGCAATGATCTCGTTGTACCACTTTGTCAAGAGATCCTATACATACATGTGTTGTTAGTTAGACTAAGAACAAAAGATTAGTGTGGAAGTAAATTTGACCTATGTCTTTGGTTGTGCATATATTATGTGAGGTGTGTACCTGCATTGTCTTTTTGGATCAGCTTTGACTTAACTATTCGTGATATTTGGCTCTAACCCGTTGCGCCAAGTAGCGCGAGTTCCCCTTTTTAACCAAGTGTTGTTTGCATAGCAGCGCTTTTCTTCATAGTTATAAGTCAATGATCTAAGGTAGGTACATGGCTATCCCATAATTTCCAGACGGCTGCTAGGCGTAATCCGGTTGATGCAAACCAAAGATAAATCGCCTCTCCACCGTTGGATGAGATGGGTCAGACCGTCCGCTTGTCTCCAAATCCCTCGCAGCACACACCGCAACTCAATCGCAGCCCCCGCAACCGACGCTTAGTAGCCCCCACAGCCAGTGCTTCGTAGTAGACGCTCCCCTTAGCATCACCATACATACCATCGCCATGCAGCTCCGGCGAGCAACACCAGTGACACACTAACACCTCACAGTATGCGCTTGCAAAACTAACACGGATGGTGCCCTGCATCCACCAGCGTGTTGCAAAAGCTACCATCGTCGCGTGTTGCAACGACCACCGTCTCACGCTGCCGTTTGTGACGCCCTCGATTCAATCGTACACTAATCATACACGCAAATGTGTACGATCAAGATCAAAGACTCACGGGAAGATATCACAACACAACTCTAGACACAAATTAAAATAATACAAGCTTTATATTACAAGCCAGGGGTCTCGAGGGCTCGAATACATCAGCTTGAATACAAACGAGTCAGCGGAAGCAACAATATCTGAGTACAGACATGAGTTAAACAAGTTTGCCTTAAGAAGGCTAGCACAAAAGCATCTACGATCGAAAAGGCAAGGCCTCCTGCCTGGGAGCCTCCTAACTACTCTTGGTCGTCGGCGTCCGTCACGTGGTAGTAGGCACCCTCGGGGTAGCAGCAGTCATCAAAGGTGGCATCTGGCTCCTGGACTCCACCATCTGGTTGCAACAACCAGAAAGAAGAAAGAAGGGGGGGGAAAGGGGGAGCAAAGCAACCGTGAGTACTCATCCAAAGTACTCGCAAGCAAGGATCTACACTACATATGCAACATTATCAAAGGAAGGCTGTGTATGTGGACTGGGCTGCAGAAATGCCAGAATAGAGAGAAGGTCTAGTCCTATCGAAGACTAGCATCTTCTGGAAACCACCATCTTGCAGCAAACAGGAGGGAGTAGAGTAGCATAAAGTAAAGTGGTAGTAGTGTTATCAACCTCGGCTAGAGATCCTTTCTCGACTCCCTGCGAGAAAGCAATCCCAGAGCCATACTATCCAGTTATCATCACAATCAAATCCTCATCACCATCCAGTTCTCATCACAAGTATCCAGTTCTAGTTGTATCGATCGGGATACAACTCCAAGTGTCCGTTACCGTAGGACAGGCTATCGATAGATGTTTTCTTCCCTGCAGGGGTGCACCAACTTACCCACCACGCTCGCTTAACTCCGGCCGGACACACTTTCCAGGGTCATGCCCGGCCTCGGCCAAACAATACGCCGCAACCCGACCTAGACTTAACAGAGAGGTCAGCACGCCGGACTAAACCTATGCCCCCAGGGGTCATGGGCCATCTCCCCGGAAACTCCTGCACGTTGCGTACGCGGCCGGTGAGCAGACCTAGCTACCTCCTTCAACAAGGCAGGCGCTTGCGCAGTCCAACCCGGCGCGCGCCACTCAGTCGCTGACGTCTATTAAGCTTTGCCTGATGTATACGACGCAGAACGCCCATACTATGCCCACGTGATGGTTAGTGATATCAGGCCAGAGGCCCCTCGGATCAAATATCCAAATCGTAGTGGATTAGGAACGCGCGGTAACAAGCAGAGACTCACGAAAGAGGTGACCCCGTTGCCCCGTCTCGAGGACTTGCGGCAAGGGCTAAGAATGCCCGGCCACGCCTCGTAATTATCTCACGGGCACCTTCCAGGTCAACCCGTCTCCACATCACTTTCCAAGTAACAGTTGTAAAGTCCAAGTATCCGTGTGTCCAAACATCAAGAGGAAAACCCAAGGAATCACCCTCGGTGGGTTCCACTCAATGTAATCATCAAGGTGAACGTAGAGGAATCACCCTCGAGGTTCACACTTGAGGGGTTGCACGATAGAGTCGTATCGGAAGTGGTTAAAGAGGAAATCACCCTCGATGACCACGACCGAATAGCTACACTACAGGGTTAACATCAGAAGTGTTGTAGAGGTCTCACCCTCGGCACTCGATAGTATCCCAGTAGTGTCGAGCAACTAAGGGGAAAGTGATATGCGGTGCCGGGGCCTGGTCTTCGAGCCCGTTGATCGGGTCTTCAATGATGAAGCAGGGGCAACAAGGACAAGGTGGGGGTCACTGATGGATCACTAACCAACCTATACTAAGCAGTTTAGGATAAGCTGGTAAGGTAACAATAAGCAGGTTACAAAAGGAGGCTATGCATCACAATAGGAGCAAACAATAACAATAGCAAAATCTAATGCAAGCATGAGAGAATGGAATGGGCGATATCGGGATGATCAAAGGGGGGGGCTTGCCTGGTTGATCTGGCAAGGAGGGGTCGTTGTCGACGACGTAGTCGATCACCGGGGCATCAGCGGCCTCGGGGTCTACCGGAGAGAAGAGGGGGAAGAAACAGTAAATACATAGCAAACAGAGGTAACACTAAGCATGACATGACGATACGTAGCGCTAAGCGTGCTCTAACGCGGTCCTAGACGTTATAGGTGAAGGGGGAAATCAGCCGGGAAGGTGTTCCCGGTTCCGGACCTGTGTCAGACAGATGACCGGAGGGGGAAAGTTCCATGTTCAGCATGTTAGGGGCATGTGACAGATGAACGGACCGCATATTCGGATTCGTTGGATTTTTCTGAGCAACTTTCATATAGAAAACATTTTCATCCGAGTTACGGTTTATTTTCTATGAATTTTTAAAGATTAAACCATTTTCTGGATTTATTTAAATTAACAGAAAGGATAAAATGACGTCAGCATGACGTGCTGATGACGTCAGCAGTCAACAGACTCGCTGACCAGGTCAAACTGACCTGTGGGTCCAGTGGGACCCACATGTCATAGACAGAGAGCTAATTGAGTCCATTTTAAATTAAACAGAGCTAATTAAGGGGGGGTGGGCCCCGGGTGTCAGTGGCTGCATAGGTTTAAAAAAACATTTTAAAATACACTAAGGTTAATTAGCGAGTGGGGCCCGCCTGTCAGTGGGCCAGAGTGCCCAGTCAGCAGTTGACCGAAGTCAACAGGTCAGCCAGGCCCACGGGTCAGCGACCCAGCGGGTGGCCCCAGCCGGTCAGGTCAGCAGTGGTGCCGGAGCTAGCTCCGGCGACCAAAGCAACGGCGGCGCCTCGCCGGAGTTGGCTGAGGCCGCACTACAGGGGGCCTCAGGACTTGCGGCTTGGACCTAAGGGCGCGGCCCGGCGCCGCGCACACAATGGTGACGACGACCGACGCCGGGGACGGCCGAAGCATCGCCGGCGGCGAGCAGAGGCGGCAGCGGCGTTCGGGAGCGTGTCGGGAAAAGCCTACGGGGTGCCAAATCGGTCGCGGCTGGTCGCGCTCGAATGGACCTTTGACGCCGCATCCATCTACGGTGGTGGGGCGGCCCGTAACGGGCTGGAACGATGACGGCGAGTGGCGGGGCGGACGCTGGCGTTCGGCCGCGGTTGGAGACGAGGCTAGAGGGCGCGCGAGAGGGAACAGAGAGGGAGAAGGATGAAGGGCTCACTGAGCGGCACAAGGAGGCCGGTGATAGGCTTAGTAGCAGCAGCAGTTGCCGGAGACGACGGAGTTCGCCGGCGACAGAGGCGAAAGGGGGCGGCTCGATCCGCACCCCGCAGTGGCTCCCGGCTCGCGCTCACGGACGGGGACGGGGTAGACGACGACGGCACAGACGATGGACGCGATGGCGAGGCGGACGGCGCTCGATGGCCGCGAGGACGGGCGAGGCACGGCGGCGACCGCGTCGGCCTCCTCTCTAGAACGAAGGAGTGGGATAGGGAGAGGCGGAGAGGGCGAGGGGGTTTGAGGCGTGGGTGGAGGTAGGTGGGGAGGAGGTCGAGGCATCGAGGGGAGGGGCCCTTATCCACCCGCGGCATTGCCGGCGAGGTGGTCGGGCGGCGACGCGCCCCTGTAGCGGTGCGCACCGGGGGAACAGGAGGGAGGGGAGAGCGATGCGGGGAGCTGGGCCGGCTGGTTGAGGTGGGCCGAGGCCCATGGGAGGGCAC